TAAAACAGCATTGAGGGGCAACAGCTTTAAGCACGTCAGCTTTGTAATTTCAGCCTTATCTACAAGTGCCAGCGCCTTTTTAAATGCAGAGCGAGGGCCCTCAGAATGCACGCCAGAGCCTTATTTTCTCCTTTCTCTCCACGCGCATTCTGGTGGCTGTCAATGGCTCGTCTGCCCATTTGCACACAGACCTGAGGCACGGCGCTCACTGTAGGATGAATGATGATGTGCCCTCCGTCTGCGGAGGTAGACGTATATATTCTCAGGACAGCGCACTTCCCCTGAAAAGAACTGCGCTTTGGAAACATCAAAGGCTAGTCTTGAGAGTCCACGTTCAAAGCTTTTTGAGCGCAGTTTTAGTAAAGACCCTTGTAAGTTGATATGGGACTAACTCAGTGATTAAGGCCGTATATTGCAATAGTTGAGACATTAAGACAATGCAAATCAGCCACTTTCTACATTTTCCGTTAATTCTGGTTTAAAGGACAGCTCTCTGAGTGTGTAAACAAGAAACATCTATCAAAAGCACATGCTTCCGATCCCCAAGGAGCCAGAGAAATCAAAGCCCATATGCCACTTCAACACAATAGCTGCTTCAAGGCTTTTCAGCACTATGGACAGCCCCCCCACCCACCCACTACCTCCTCATACACACATACTCTTCTTAATTCTATTCAGCATTCTTTGTCTGCACTGAAAACTGCTGCTGTATCATCACCTGCCTCTAACCATGCTATAATTGTGTATGTAATCCATAAATCTAAGCCTGGTCTTCTCAGTTGGAAACACTTTTTATAATCAGGTGATTCGGTTCATGCACAAGTGGAGTGGTCTACTCATATTACATATAGCTGTCTTAAATGTACACTAGCGGATATGGTATAGTTGATTACTGACTTCAATGTTTGGTCACTATTTTATAGGTCTGCTACATGACATTGACTTACAATGTGTACTAAACAGTTAAAATTATGTTTTATGGGTAAACATTACAGTGATGTTTTTTTCTGTTTGCGCTGAAATTTCCAATGATCAACTTTCTACTTTCTTCTAATTTTCTATTTTCTTCAAATGTCCATATTTATATACATATATTTTTTATTTCAAAATAGACATTAGATATAAGATAATCTACTTGCATAAGGAAAATCAAAGGTAAATAAGTGAAAAAAGTATTTTCCAAAACAGGAGCTCAAAAAATTATGAAAAGATTTTAAAAGATATTCAAAGAATATGTAACTCCTAACAACCAAGCAAGACCTGTTAGACCACCAAAACTGTCTCCTTCACATAAACTGTACTTAAACCCTAATCCTTGAGTAGAAAATCAAGCTCCACTCTTGCTTCAGATCTGAAAAAATCCACATGTTTCTGTCCTTCCTTCCACTGTGAGCAGACAACTCAACACTATGGGTATGAAAGGATGTGTAGCTGACAAGAAGCCGCTACTGAGAAAAAAAGACAAAAAAGAAGAAAATCTGCACTAAAATACCAAAACTAGACATCTGAGATGTGAAGTAAGGTTTTATAAACTGATATGTTCAACTTTGTAATTGGGATCATTTGGATTATAGGAAACAGAGAACGCAACCAACTTCTAAGACTGAACTTTGGAGGTGTGAAACAATATCTCTGCAGATTTCTTTGAAAAACTGAAAAGATTAGAAGCTGTAATAAAGGCAAAGGATGGGCACACCAACTTATTATTGGTTATTAAGGCTTCTCTGTACTTTTCTGTTAAATATGTGTTTTCAGCTTTTTTCCCTGACACTGAAAAATGAATAACTTGTCTTTAAATGTCAATTTGACTGGAAATGAAATAAATGAAGGGTGTAAAATTAAGGGGTTACACATACTGTATATTCCGAATATAGTATTCTATGAGCACTACTAAACCTTGAAAAGCCATGAAGTACTAGTCAACAGAATCTGGAAAAAAATGAACACGTCGCAGTCTCTGTGTTCAATTTAGGCCTCCTTGTAAACTGTCTGATAATGCACTGTATTTAAAGTACCACACTCTTATACATAAAGGCACCATAAAGAGTTCATTGAGTGATGCTCCAAACAGCCTGTGGAAGCTTTCAGTGGAACCATTTTTGCTATAAGATGGCTGAGTGTGCCTGAACCTTTAAAGACCCTCTGCATCAAGTAAAGGTTCTATAGAAATTGAAGGCCAAGCCCAGAACCATTTGAAGAACTTTTACTTTTGAGAGTGTATTGGTCTATGTAGTTGCCTTCTTATCAGTTTAAGCATCATTAGGCACCTGCTTCTTCCTTCTTACACTTTGCGGTGTTCTCTCACAGTGCTGTGTGGATCTGGAAGTCTTGCTCTCGACAGTGTGGGCGTCTAAATCTCAGGCAGTCTGCTGAAGTCTTCAACCTTAGACTGTCGACGGATTGTATTTATGTATAGAGGAATTATGTATTAAGCAGACATTGAAAAGCATTGAGGCAGGCAGATTTTTTTCTCTCTTTTTCTTTTAAGGACGTAAATGTTAATGTGAGCGTTGCACTGCTCTTTTGCGATCTATCAGGTCCAACTAGGTGCTGGAAATCAGAATAACTTCACATCTTCTCCTCTCGCCCATCTTGTGAGACCTCCCTCTTTCTCCCTCTCCCTCTCTCTCTCTCTCTCTCTCACTCTCTCTCTCTCTCAGTATACGCGGCACGATTGCACTTCCCTCCACAAAGAGCCTGGCTCAGGCAACTTGCATACAAAACAGCTGACTCAATCTTCAAGCTGCATAATCAAGATAAGAGACAGAAAGAGGCGCGCACTAAAAGGCGACTGGCTTCGCGCAAGCAGCTAACAAATGATGGGTGCGTTTCAAAAAACAACATAACTCTCCTTATAGACTGCGAGGCAGAGCTTAGATAGCCAGTTGCCACTGTCTGAATCCCAATGCGAGAGGGCAAAGAGACGCCTGAGCTCCAACATCATTTAGACTCATTGCCCAAGGAGGAATAGCTGGTTTATCTTGAGAGTTTATGAAAGAAACAATTTGCAAAACAGGAGTCAAAAGGTGCCTTTTGCTTGCTGCTTATTACATAAGGGCATGAAACTCTGGAAAAACCAGAGAGAAGAAACAGCAGCATTGGTACATTTAACCAGTCAACCCATATTTGTCTATCTATTGATCTATCTATCCCTCTCTCTCTCTCTCTCTCTCTCTCTCTCTCTCTCTATATATATATATATATATATATATATATATTTCCATATTCCCCTAATGCTTGTCAAAGGCAGGTTTTTAAGCATGTATATGTAACCATATATATATATATATATATATATATGTATGTGTGTGTGTGTGTGTGTGTGTGTGTGTGTGTGTGTGTGTTGGTTGATGTAATTGTTGATATGTAATTATATACATATATTTAAAAAAATTATATACATATATTTAAAAACGTACAAGCATTAGGGGAATATGGAAATGTATCATGACGGGATTTATTGACAAACCGCTTCTTGCTGCTTGCTGCTCCTTTGACATTAAAATTCAAAGATGCCCATCATCAGCATTGTGAACTCTCTATGTGGCGTATCTAGTGGCCCAATCAACTGAGGGTGGAGCCTTTTTGGCACAAGGGGTCCTTCTGACAAGTCGCCAGGGTGCAAAGCTCACTGATACATCAAACCACAAGAGAAAATCTCTTTGCCAGCTATTCAAAGCCTTCAGACTGCAAGTCCTCTCTGTGAACCTTGAACAAAGTCTGGAAAAGGCAGGATAAGAAAGTTTGGCCTTTTCTTTTCTCTTCTTTTCTTTTATTCCTTTTTCCACCCACACATCAACCACGTTCACTTTTCCTAATCCCATCAATATGGCTCAGACTGTAGTAGTCTAAGTCCATCGCATCTCCCTGATTTCATTTCCTTGATACTAAAGTTTACGTAAGAGCAGCCTCTGCTTTAAGTGCGCAATAAAAATGTGCAGTTGGACGATCTCTCAGGAGTTAAAGTGAATCAAGCGCAGCCACTGCACATTGCTGGAGTGGGCAGTTGGCAGAGAATACTGTGGTATCTCATAGTTTGCAGCTGTGCCCGTTTGTGAGTCAAACAAAAATTACGCACAATAAGAAGCCAGAAAAAAAATAAGCTCATTTCAGCGTACAGCTAAATGCTTTTGTTGCTCTTACCTACCTAAATACACCAGGCAATCAGACTTCCAGCAATAATATACAGAAAAGCACACATAACAGCGAGCACGCCAGAACTGTGTGACACGGACAGAACCACGGATGGGAAACTTAAGAAGCCACTCAATCGCCTTCCAGTCTATAGCGCTAAATGGTTTGTCATGCATACAATGAGACGTGGAGTACTCACGCAGCTCTCCGAAATCCCAGAGATGGAGAAGGAGCAGCCCGAATGTACGCGCTGTCACAGTTTCGGATGCCTGAAGGCGAACTCTAGCGGTTAGCGGACCAGGCTGCTGTCCAGGGTGCTGAAACCTTTGCCCGCGTTCTCTACATGTTCGCTTCGCTCGCGTTGCGCTGAAAAACGAGCACGAAGTGGATAAAGCCTCTAAAACATGCACTCACACACACGCCTCACTGAGGGGGTGGGGGCGGAATTAGTCTGTGACGACCCCTACCCACAGCACATCCTTTACCTACAAGTGGCGACTCGCTAAACGCACAATTTGAGGAAAAGTGCACGACGCTGCTCCACAACGCCCTGCTTTGCATGTAGTTTAGCTCGCTGTGTACAGCAGCGCAGCCGGTATTGTCGCCAGCTATAAGTTTGGCTGCATTTGAATAGCAGTCAACGTAGGGAAATATCAGTCTACACAGTAAAGTCGTGAAGCGTTTGTTGTTTACGTGAGCACAGCCTCCTCTAAGAGAACTTACACAACGTGGAATTCTCTTCCAGGCGCACATTCCTCACGTAGCATTACTAGAGCGTGTTTAACTAATCGCACCGACGTGTGCAGCAACTGCAAGACACTGGAGAGAAACATTCCCCGCTGCATTCCTCAACATTTTCCACTTACCTTCCCCACGAAGCGGAGCAGCGAGTCTCACCGGCGCCGAAACTGGGGTCCCTATGTCACCATGAACCCCAAGACGATTTCAAAGAGGCAGAAGAAGACAGTTGGGCTCAAAATCCTGGGTCTCTCTCTCTCTCTCTCTCTCTCTCTCTCTCTCTCTCTCTCGCTCTTTCTCTCGGCCTCAGAATACAAAGAGCTGCAGTTCCTCACTGCGTCAAGCGCGAACCTCAAAGATCCATTAAACAGTGAGTGATTAATTCAAGGCAGAGAGCCCTTATTGAAAGCGCTTTCACTCCTCGCCTTTATGTATTCCGCGCTGAGCACGAGTCAGGATTTTCCATTACGCCTCTACGGTGCAGTTTTGTCCGTCATAACGGCACCGACCCGCCGTTTAACCATTTTATCTCTCTCTCTCTCTCTCTCTCTCTCTCTCTCTCTCTCTCTCTCTCTCTCTCTCTCTCTCTCTCTCCCTCTCTCCCTCTCTCTGTTTTTTCGGCTTTTTTTATTACTTTAGCTAGTGTACGGCGCTGGCTGGAAGACTACTCTGCGAAAGCACACTGATCCAGAAGTCCACTTGGGGCGAAGTTAAATCTCATAATAAGATTGTTTGTCACCGCGAGGCTATAAATGGTGTGGGTTCAACACACAGGGCTAGAGGTTAATTGCAAATCCCTCTGTTACTGCGTAGCACGTGTGCGCTCTTTACCTTTTAAAAATTTGAGCACATTCCCCTGTACACACTGGAGTGGGAGACAAGACCATAGAGACTATGGAATTTATAGGAAAGTACTTGGAAAGTCTACACCCTTAAACAAAATGGGTCTTCGAGGGTTCTTTGGTGAAGGCACTGGTTATATATAGAACTGTGAACACTGAAAGAACCATTTAAACACTTAAGAGGTTCTCTGCATGGTTAAATGGATCTTCTCTATGGTGAAAACAAGCTGTTCTTTAAAGAATCAGTTTTACAACTGTCCAAAAAGCTACTAAGCAGGTGCATTTTTGTTCAACGTACATGGATGTACCCTCAAAAAAGGTACATCAGTGGTCTTGAGGTCAAACACCTTTTCTCAGTGTGTTGTATTTTTTCATAACCTAATGTAAACAGAAATATACATAACAAACAATATAAATGTATCCTTAAAGGTACAGCAGTGGTTGTGCACCTTAAATAATTTTTTTTTCCAGGTAAAAAGTATGTATTTGTACCTTTTCATAACCTGATGTTTTAAAACAAGAAGAACAATAAAATAAAAAGCTTGGAGATGAGACAGGGTGTGTGGAGTCAATACAACTTGGATTAAGGTACCCCTTTAAATTCCAGGCTTATCACATACTAAGGCTTATTTTTCAGTAACTACAGAGACTTCAGTGCAGTCTGGTTGAGCTATTCTTAGGTTATAGAAGTGTGTAATAAAACTTGGGGCCTGACGGCAGGCCTTGGACCAAATAAGGAAGCAAAGGTACTGACCCTTGAGGGTACCACTCCAGAGATGAGAGGGGCACCACCATAGTGACAGTTTAGCACCCTTTTTCTGAGAGTGTATAGCACCACATTTGTTATAAGTGAACCTTTTTTTGAGGGTTTAGAACCCTTTTTGCTAAGAACGAACTCTTATCACAATGGATCTTTCTACAAACCCTGAAAATTAGAAAATAAAAGGTGACACAACTGCCAAGTCGCTGTTGCATGAAGGCTCCATAGCCTGGCATCCAAATTTGCCACTGGCTACGTATCAGCAAAAGATGTCGTTTCTGTTGCATATGAAAGATTTGCCAATTTTCAGAGCTTTCAAAAACAAATTTGGTCACACAATCAACTATGAGCCAATTCGAGCCCAGCGACAAAACAAGACATCTGTTTTGTATGGGTGAACTGTATCCTCTTTTTTTTCTTTCTTTTTTTTCTACACCATTTGAGCACAGCAGTTGCCCATTACATTGAATTAAACCTTTATGATGAATGGACCTACAGAAATGCTCCAAATTACTTGAAATAAAATCTCTTTACATTCATTTACATTAAATGGAATGAACGTTTTTGCCTTTCCTTGCCAGAAAGGGCTCTATGCCATGAAAAAACACTTTTGGTTCCCTGTAGAACCTTTCAGTGGGTGGTTCTTTACAGAACCATTTTTGGAAATGAGATAGTGTAGGGAATCTTTTTAAAGCTTAAAGAATCTCCACAAAATCTGAAGGGTTTCTATAAACTAAAGGCTTTTCCTAGAACTGTGTGTCCACCTTTATTTTCTGAGCTCCAGAAGCCCCTCCATCACAGTTGCAGGTTGGTACTCTGTGTAGGCGCTGTTGGGGAGGTGGTTGGCAGCTATCCCTTTGCTCGCCTCATACCCAAAACTCCTCCGTCCTCCTCCAGGGCTGATTTATGACCGCTCCCTCTCCCCTACAGTGCCAACCAGGGGGCCAGAGCCAGCAGCAGCGGCAGCAGCAGCAATAGCAGCAGTTGTGTCTGACAGTGAGGAGTCATGCTGTGGAGGCTGTGCTGCCCTGGCTCACTGTGGGGAGGCAGGTGAAATGGGCAGTGGTCCGGAGCCTGACACAGGGACTCCGCTACATTAGCCACAGGCTGTGCTTCCCTCTGGAGGATAGAAGGGGGCGTGCTGGACACTTCACTGGTCCTCAGAGCTTGAGTGGACAGGCTACTACTCAGGTTTAGGCAGCAGGGTGGTGATGTACACTCTTAAAAATAAGGGATATGTGGTCCATCTTTGGTTCCCTAAAGAACTTTTCAGTAGCTGGTCCTTTAAAGGAGTACTAGCATGGGCTATAATTCAAAGCTTTTTTCTGTCCTGACAAAAGAAAACCTGTTGACTCAAAACACACTTAGAATAAAAACCAATGGGCAGCCTTACTCCTTTGAAAAGTGGGTCTTCAAGTAAACTTGTTCTTTAGTAAAGGCAATGGTTACACACAGATCAGTCATAATGTTAAAGCCACCTCCTTGTAGCAACACTCATTGTCCATTTTATCAGCTACACTTACCATATAGGTGCACTTTCTAGTTCTACAATTACATTACTCTTCACAATACTCTTTTACCCTGCTCTTCAGTGGTCAGGACCCCTACAGGACCACCACAGAGCAGGTATTATTTGGGTGGCGGATCACTGCAGATGCACACGTGGTGATAATGTGTGCTGCGCTGGTATGAGTGGATCAAACACAGCAGTGCTGCTGGAGTTTTAAACACCATGTCCACTCACTGTCCACTCTATTAGGTACACCTGCCTTTGTCGGCACACATTGCAGATGTAACGTCAGAGACGATGCATTGCTGAGAATGATCCCCCACCCACATAATACCTGCTCTGTGGTGGTCCTGTAGGGGTTCTGACCATTGAAGAACAGGGTGAAAGTGGCCTAACAAAGTATGCGGAGAAACAGACGGACTACAGTCTGTAATTGTAGAACCGATGAAATAGACAAAGAGACAAGGAAGTTGTTTTAATGTTATGGTTGATCAATATATATCAGAAATGAGGACTCAAGTCAGAAATACAGACTTGAGTAGCATGTTGACTTGCAACTTGACCTGCACCCAACCTTAAATGACTCGTGACAAACAGCAAAACAGATTTCATAATATGAAATCTTTCATTTCAAACCTTACATGTGTGATATTGGCTTTGTTATAGTCATGCGCAGTCCTTACTGTAACACTGTTCTCCTGCAGCTCGCAGGAGCATCAGGTTTGATACAGCTTTGTGCCTTTCATTACAGAAAAGCCTTCAGTCTGATGGACAGAAGGAAAAAAGAAACAGCTTTAACAGCCAAACGAGTTGGCTAGAATGTAGTTTGCATAGTAAGAATGATAGCTAGCATGCTAGCTTATTTAGTTGAAGTTGGAAGCTAGTATAGCTGAAGTTTTAGTAAGTTACAGATCACAATTCTTTAAAACTTACCAAAACTTCAGCTGGATTAGCTCTTGTGCTACCAAGATAGCTTACATGCTACATAAACTACAAACTAACCAATGGTTTTAAGTTGCCTCATTTCTTTAAACACCACAACGCTTCAGCTTTGTCCTTCAAACTGAAGGCTTTTCCATAATGAAAGGTTTGTTATTTAAAGCTGGCAGTTTTAAGTAGGGGTGTCCTTTGGAACAGTACATTGCCTGCAAGTAGTAACTAAGACTGAACTAAAAGACTCAAGACTCGACTCAAACCCACAGACTCAAGACTTGACTCGGATTCCTATGAATTGACTTGTGAGCATCTATTCTCTATATAGAATTGTGACAACTCAAAAAACCATTTGACCTGCATCAGAATGCTGTTCTTAGACTTCATTTCAGCATTCAACACCATCATCCCTCTGCACCTGATTGAAAAACTGAGCCTGCTGGGCCTGAGCACCTCCCTCCGTAACCGGGTCCTGGATTTCCTGACTGAGAGATCTCGATTAGTCAGGATCAGTACATATGTACTCGTACATAGATGGAATGACAATGAAATCCTCTTGACTTGACTTGACTTGACTTGAATGCTTGCACTTACTTGATGTGACGGTCAAGTGGTCCCCGGTTTGCACTCAAATAGGGAAACTCAGCAAAATACTCTATAAAACCTAAATATTTGGATGGCCAAAACATTGAAAGTTGTTTAAGGAACCTAGGTTCTTCTATGACAGCTCTCCAAATGAGCATCTTTATTTTTCAGAATGTAGCAAGCTTAAAAACTCATCTCCTGTATATAACAAATGGCAGTCATTCCCATGTTGTTTTAAGGGAGGAGTAGGTGAGGGTTACACTAAGAGGGATTGATTCTTCATACATCTGTCATTTTGCTTTGGAGGATGTTCCGGTTACTGTTCGATTAAGCTGTATGTTGTTATTCTAGTTTTTGGCCTCACCTGAAATATAGGTCCGCTTCAAAAACAGCAGCATTTGGCAAATTAAAATAGCTTCCTCATTGATTTTCTATTTTTCATTGGCTCCGTTGCAGAACTCTGAGATACTAGCAAATGGGCTTATTTAGTAGTGAGACACTACACATAAATTAAGAAGAACGCTGCATCTCTAAGGTACATGAGGTGTGTAATTTTCTTTCAGTGTTGCTTTGGGGGGGGTTACTTTAAGGGGTGTTATTTACCATCACAGCATAAATGAGAAAACCTA